TAGCTAAACTGGTGTGATCTATTATTTGTAATGTCCTGAGAGTTATTGTGGGCAAGCTAAAAGCTTAGCTAAACTGGTGTGATCTATTATTTGTACCGTCCTGAGAGTTATTGTGGGCAAGCTAAAGCTTAGCTAAACTGGTGTGATCTATTATTTGTACCGTCCTGAGAATTATTGTGGGCAAGCTAAAAGCTTAGCTAAACTGGTGTGATCTATTATTTGTACCGTCCTGAGAGTTATTGTGGGCAAGCTAACGGCTTAGCTAAACTGTTGTGATCTATTATTTGTACTGTCCTGAGAGTTACTGTGGGCAAGCTAAAGGCTTAGCTAAACTGTTGTGATCTATTATTTGCACTGTTCTGAGAGTTATGGTAGGCCAGCTAAAAATGTTAGCTAAACTATTGTGATCTATTATTTGTACTGTTCTGAGAGTTATTGTACTGTACCTTATTATACTTGTTATATTAAACTTTTGTATTGCCTGGACACCCCTTGTATCTCGGGGAAGCATTAGACACAACAGCGAGAACTAGGAGACGGAGTGGCGTTCCCCCCCCCGGCGGAAGGAAAGGTAGGTGGGAGTGTCCGCTCACAAATGCATTTGTGTCTAGGGGTAACGTTCCCACCTCATGACTCAAGGTACGTGGGTTCAAACCTGGCAGAGGTCGTGGAATTTTTAAGGATGGAAAAATTCATGGAACAAGTCCTCCGGGAGGGACTTTAAGCCATGTGTCCCATGTCGTAGATTTACGGCACATAAAAGAACCTCGTGTCTCTAGGAGACCTCTGAGCTAAATTACAGGCCCTTTCCTGCCCAAGTAGTCTCCAATGCCTCTGGTGGATGGGGGAAGCATCAAGGTACCGAGGGGCGGCCTCATTGGCTCTACGGGGGCTGATGGCACGCACCGTTACCGGTAGGGTATGGCGACAGTAGAAATTAAAGGAGGACGCACAATGGACCAATAACTGGTCTAAGTGCATGGGGAAACCCACCCCCTCTCATAATACGAATACAAATACGAATGGTTTACTCAATTCATGGAAGAACATTTTGTCATGAATGCAAGGATATCTTGAGAATATAATACATTATACACTAAAGTTCCACGTGGTATCCACTAGTATTATGAAGAAAATAGATTAAATTAGACGACAGTGGAAATTCCAGGAATAATTATGCAATAACTGACATTCTGGATTAATGCTGATAGCATAACTGGACAGCAGTGTTAATGACAGGGATTTTGAATGGGAAGACACATCAAATTACAGGAATCAGACAGTGCTTCACTAGTGGATTCGAGCCACAAGGTACAACAAAGAACACAACAGTTTGGAAAGTGTTACATTATTTTTAATAAAGATTTTGTAGAAGATATAGTAACGAAGATGAAATGTTTTACACAATTCATATTATCACTAACCAAAATACTGGGCTTTCAAATCACTCACAATATACAGAATTTGTCTCATGATTGGGGTGTTTATTATAATGGAGAAGATGGGTTCTATTTTCATTGCTGCAAGGACTAACGTTTCAAGGTGAATTACTAAGATACTGTAAATCACACACCCTGCGAATATTACAGGATTTACACACAGAATTTCAATGAAATTTAATACATTATTGAAGTTAAAGTTGTCTCAGTTGAAGCATCCTTTTGTGTGGGAAAATGTAAAGCCCATCATCTCTTCTTCAGACTATTTACACTGATTTAAATCTCTGGTGCTGACATGTTAAGAAGCAAATAACATGACATCTCCAGGTAAAGTATGTACTAAACAAAGGACATAAACAAGTATTAAAAATACTCCTTACTAGCATGGTGCATTTTTGCTTTAGAAGAATAAACACTGTAGGGTTTAAGATTTTTGTACTGCTATGAGTTGTTTTTGTAATGTTCCTCCGTGGCCTTTAGTCCACAAGCAAACTATACTGACCGAGCTACTGCTGCTTGTCAGCGAAGTTAGTGACAACTTTTACGGATACAGGGTGTCAAGTGGTCAGTGCAACGGATTCCCATGGCCATTAATCTCGGTTTTTTAGACCAGAGTTTTGTAATGTGTCACCTTAAAATTTTCAGAGGTCAAATTACAATGCTCTGTCCTCATGTCAAAATAGTTTTGCAGCCATCAAATTATTTTCCATTTCCCTAAAGAAGTATCTTACTAACAGTTGCATCCTTTCAAAGCTTATCACCACATGAAACTTCAGACACACTAATCGACAGCAGTAGTGTTTTACCACCTCACAGGTTTGCATGACAACCTTGTGGTACTACTGTTCACCGAAAGTTAGAAACTACCGAGATAGGGAGGTATCCAGTGACAATGCTTAAAATGAATTTTAAGAAAATAAAGTCATTTAGCATCTGTAATATTGATGTATGTAGCTACATCAGGAGACAGACATTCATCTCACTAACAGGATTCCTTTATAACCCTACAAATACAGCTCAAAAAACTGGTCATAACAGGATATTTAAGAAATAATTTAAATATGGTAATTTTAATAAATGGGACCTATTATACTTTGTACTTACCTACAGGACAAGATTACAAATTGCATCACAAGGTTATGGCACTGTGTTTCAGAATTAGCAGTACAACTGTCAAGTCTTGTATGAATCATATTAAAAAGGATCTTACAGACACGGGGTGTGAGGATGTTCACTGGATTCATCTGGTTGAGGACAGAGCCCAGTGGCAGGCTCCTGTGAGCATGGTAATGAAAGTTGAATTTCCATGAAGTGAGACCTATATGGTAAGTGGGCTTGATAATGGGTGCATCTCATCCACAGGTCTGTACCAGTAATGCAACTCTTGATGTAAGATACGTTATAACCAGAAGAGAGATGCTGAAGTTCAATGCCAGACATGGTAGCTGGAACTCTATCAGATATGGGAGTCATAGCCTCGTGCACGAGCTCCCAGCAACATCTGAGCTTCCGCATCTTTCTTTAACTGCCGGAGGCGGGTACGAAGGGGCTCCACCAATGTACCGAGCCATTCATCCATTGCTGGTGTTTGTAGTACATCTTCCAGATGAACTCTCATGTAGCCCTCCAGTGATGCTAATTCAAACAGCAGGCTGTGAAACATGTGAAGATGAAAAGTGCCAACATTATAAAAGCATTACTCAATTAAGCCCATTTTCTGGCATAACCACAGAGGTTTTAAAGAACCATTAAATCTACATTTACAGGTGGGTGCATTTAGAGATTCTAGTTACAGACCTTCTCGTTACATTACAGTTTAAGTCAAACCCTTCAGGATTCAGCATTCATAGCCTGTACAGTAACAGAGTACTATTTGGTGATACATGACAAAAGTGTTCAAAACAGCACATATAGACTGAGTCTGTGAAATGCCAAATTAAGTGATACATAATCTATATACACAGATATTTAACAATGATCACTTTTCATGTCTTATAACTACATATAAGAAAGGCTTCCTAAATAATAAATTCTGTAAAACATGAACAAGGGCATGCCATCAGACTGTGGTGTTACAGGAATAATATACATTTCAAAAAACAACTCTGAACTGCAACATACAGAACACATGTTCATGTTCCTTTAGTAAGTGTAACTAAAACCCAAAAATGAGTACATTATTCTGGTATTACATTGACTATGATCTCAGTTTGGATTAAGATGATCTGAAAATGAAAACTGTGGAGGTACAAGCAGACCTTCATCAGTACATTCCATATAAGATGCTGATGTCCAAATTTAATGGTCTCCATCCCACTGATAGAGATTATATAATCTTATTATCAAATACAACAAAATTAACAATTTTCATACTAATAAAGTTGCACTGTATGTATTACATGTATGTATTAAAAAATAAAGTATTCGATTACTTATGTATGTTACATGTGAAAAACTATAAAATATGATCACAAACTTCTGCATTAGGTAGTCCAGTACACAAATTTAATTATATTTCCTGGCACTCTGGACACATGTAAATATGCCCCCCTTGCATAAATTCTGAAAAAAGATAAGACTTACTCTGTGAAGGCAGGAATCAGGCTTTCAATCTGCATAGGATTGGTGAAGCCATTTTGAATCTGCCAAGAGTTGAACCAAGTCTCAACTCTGTAATAAATAACAGCAGTCAGCTTCTGTTAATTGTCACATTTTTAACTACATTACATGGAATCCTGTGTGAAATTCCCTCTAAATTATAGTAACCTTAACTGTGACTAGTAACTAATAATGTTTTATCACTACCTGCATTTGAGGTCAGTAATGCTACTGCTCTGTGGTAACTGATGAAAAAAGAAGATTGAAAAATAATCTACAATAACATCGTTTTTCCCCACATATTCAATATGTACTGTGTATAAAAAGCCTATGTATGACATCTGAGGTTCTTCAAACCTGTGTATGTTACAGTATTGGAGTCCCCTATGTTCAATAGTATTGCTTTATTCTCATGTCATATTTTTTGTTTGTATATAATCACCATTCCAAAACAAAATACTGCACATGAAGTAACACAATGTACCACACCAATCTAAAAATAAAAAATGGTATTGTTAAAAATGTTATTCACACTCAACATAACTATTACAAAATGCATGAAACCTGATACTCACTGATCACTCTCAACAATGTTACGATACTTGAGGCGCAGATTTGCGAACCACTCAACACCTACACGAACTTTCCAGCCAGGAAAACTCAGCTGCTGAGGAACAGGCTGCGGCCTTAAACAGTGAAACCAAATAAGGTAATAAGGCCTTGAAGTTCTTCATTTCAGATATTTGTGACTAGATAGATTTACTAATTTATATTTTGATACAAATTCCTAAGACCTGAAGTATTAAGTCAATATAATTTGTTGCAAATGTACCTGATTTTCTGTTATCAATGTCACATAAGGTAAAGCTATCACTATAAAAGGCTGTCAAGGCCCACAGGGTTGTGAGACATCGAGGCTCCCACATTATCTCTAGACAATCAGCTCAAAGATGGTGGTTAGGTTGTTGGTCTTATGCACCAGCTGCCCTTTATCCCCCAGGAAGATTCCTGGCACTCATTTCTGAGTCTGAGTCAACCCCAGGGCCATATTGCAGCTGAAGGATTAGGTAAGTTGAAAAAAAATCCATCACAACAGGATTCAAACCCGCAACCTTCCAGCTTGTACCATAGTGCCTCAACCAACTACACTACTGCATGCCCCATTGTCAAAATCACATAATGAACTAAAATTTAAGAAGACATCTGCCAAGTCAACTCAGCAAGGAAAATCAAACTATGCACACTGTGCATTTCATCATTTCCAATGTATCTGAAATAAGCAGTAAAATACTAAATCACAGGCACAAAAAACAGGAGCAGCATAAATGAAAGAACATGTAGCAAGATGTGCATCAGACAAAAAACAAACTCTGAAATATACAAGAAACTTCTGGCCACAACTGAAGAGACTACTATATACATGAATAAATGGACAGACCATGTAGAGAGAATGTGTAAGTAGTGTCAAATATAGTACAAACAAACAAACAAACAAACTCCGTGGCCCATAGTCCACAAGCAAACTATACCATTCGAGCACACACCATTTGTTGACGAAGTTAGTGCCAACTTTTGCAGATAGACCGTGTCGCATGGTCAGTGCAACAGTTCCCCACGGACATTAATCTCAGTTTTCAAGGCTGGAGCCGCTATTTCCTTGAAACAGCTCCTCAATTATCCTCACAAGGCTGAGTGGACCCCGTTCCAGACCGATAACATCTCAGAAAATCTGGTAGCGCCGGGAATCAAACCTGGGACCTCTGGATCTATAGCCAGGAACACTGACCACTAGACCACAGAGGCGGGCAAATATGGTAACAAATTATAAACCTAAAGCACAAAAAGTACAAGGAAGACTTAAGGAGATAATGGACTGTGACAGCAATGTAACCCACAAACACAAGAAGAAATGCTAAATTCTGTGAAATAGGATCAAAAGAGCAATAAAGAAATATATAACCACAGATATCCTAATGTAGTTGGTTGAGGGGCTATGGTAAAAGTTGGAAGGTCGCGGGTTCAAGTCCCAATGAGGTCACTGGACTTTTCAGTTGACCTAATCCTTCCACCCACACTAGGCCCTGGGGTTTACTCAGCCTCTAACAGAAATGAGTACCAGGAATTAATTAAATGATTTTCCTGGGGAGTAAAGCGTGGCCAGCGCATAAAGCTGACAACCTTACTGCCATCTTTGAGCCGATTATCTAGATAGTGTGGGACCCTCAACGTCTCACAACCCTATGGGCCTTCATGGCCTGGTACAGGGACAGCTTTACTTTTTTACTTTTACAGATATCCTTACAGTAACTACACTCCAAGCTTCTGCTTTCTTTCTGTCATATTGGTAGTTTGAAGCCATACCTAGGATAGGGATTGAGAAGAAGAGGTGTGTCCATGTAACCTAAATCTTTTGCTACTGAGATGTGCAGATCTCCACTGTATGCTCCAGCCAGCCACACTTTGAGACAAAGTGCTAAGCTGGGAATTGCAACTGGCAGAAGCTCACACAGTGTAGCATAGTGGTCATACCTATGAACACAAAATGGCAATGGTTCCTTTCACTGTAATAACTTTTATGTTTTGCTTTAACAAATTGCATTTTCACTTAAAATCATAGTTTCCTAGCACTATGAGACTCATTGATCTCCTGTATGTTCTGACATAGCTCGGTATGACAGGCTTAAAACAATTACTGCAAAGGACACAAGTTGACTAACAACCATTATACCAATGAGATGCCGTTATCTCTGACTTTAAGTGTCAGTACCGTTGTTGCAAGTTTCACTCAATAAGAACATGATTTATGCCTTTATTACTGCTCATCATATTTTGGGAGTTCACTATATTAATATCAGAACCAATAGTATAAATATCCATGGTGATTAATCTTAAAATACTTAAAATGAGGAACTGGTAATTTAATTCAAACCCCATGGGTAAAATTCAGTTTTCAATTATATTTAATATAGCCCACCTCAATGACTATGAGATCATGTTTCAAATATCACAGAACAGAAGATGGTTTTGCCATATATGCTTTATGAACATGCAAGGACATGGCATACAGAGGGAAGGAAACAGCTCTTACTATATGCAATATGCCTGCTACTCTGTACCCTGTGGCCTTTTTGAATCACAAGGTACCTCACACATCATTTCCATCTTTATGTGGTTTAGATGAGCTATGTCAAAAAGTACACTCCACCTGTGGGAGTTCTGTTGAACTACATGGTAACCTATCAAATGTCACATATACAAATTTTTGTTAAGGAGGCCAAAGTGTATGCTTGTTCTATTGCTTGCACTGGTCTGCATTACTTTCACAGTAACTGAGAAACGGTATGCAAAATATAAAATCTGTACCATTAGGTAAATAAGGAAGAAACACCAGACATCTACTGATGAACTTCCGAAAGGTTAATAAATCCTTCCTGCCTACTGAAAATCATTTAAATTAAATCACATTTTAAATCATTACTGAATTCTATATACCTATGCATGTGGCCTACAAACACTATTACACATACTAGAGCAAGGTTAAGCCAAAAATATAAGACTTCCTGTAACTCGTTTATGCAGGCAATTACCGAGACCACCCAGTGAGTGCAACACCTCTGAAGTTCTGGAACTTGCTCACTTCACGGCTGAGGACACGAAGCCAGTGTTCGTGGTTACTCAGATGGTGCTGAATCACTGGCAATAACTGACAACTGCCAGTTGCTCCTTTGAATGCTGTTGCCACCCATACACTGTCAAACACTGACGAATACTTGTCCCATAGTTCTGAAATAATAAACAAAACTGTTTACTTAACAGGGCAAACAGGTGAAACACACACCATGTCTTTTCTTTACATATTTTATTTTAAAAGAAACTAATGAAACTGTAGTTTCAAGTATATTTCATACAAAGTTAAATATTATGTACATAAAGTACCAATAATAACCTGGTGTTAGCTGAAAGCACTCAGCAGGTGTATAGTGCCACACCATGGGTTCTACATAGTGACCCAAGTTGAATTCTGGAACACAAAGATATCACATATCACATGTATCATACTCAACCATAATATTCATTAAAGATGTTAAATTACAATAATTTCTAATGTTTTACAAGAGTAACAACTCTACTGCACTGCATGCTTCTTTACAAAATTCTACTTCAACTGCACTCTGTGAGGTCATTGGATTTTTTTTTTCAATTGACCTAATCCTTCCAGCCGCACTATGGCCCTGGGGATCATTCAGCCTATAACAGAAATGAGTACCAGGAATTAATTAAATAATTTTCATGGGGAGTAAAGTGCGGCCGGTGCGCAAGGCTGACAACCTTACCGCCATCTTTGAGCCAACTGTCTAGATAATGTGGGACCCTCCACGGCCTGGTACAGAGAGAGCTTTACATTTTTTTTTTTACTTCAGCTGCACTCTGTAATACAATATATACCTCAAAAACAAATCTCCATCAAAGAACCAAATCAATCCACAAAAACATGTCATAGATTTGTAAACAATAACACCTACAATCATAGTAACTTATAAACAGTTCAACACACATGCAAAGGCTAAGTCATAGACAACTTTAATGAACTGATATTTGAGATATGAGGTTTTTACAACAGTGAATTTATATTGTAGTCTCCTACGATATGACACCATGCTGTTTCATAAGTGGTTACCAACGTTTTGGAGCAACCAACGGCCTCTGTCTTCAAAGCAGAAGTGGAAATAAAGATGTAGATTGATACAGCAAGTTCCCCTTAAGCGCTGGTAACCACTTACAAGACTACATGATGTCACAGCCCAGGAACCTACAACTTACAAAACTGTAGTTGTTCTTACTGAACCTATAGTAATGTCCAACTTATTTAGTATCAATAATACAAATGATGCAAACACATTGGTGGAATAAATGTACAGGAAATGTGAGAGCCTTAAGAGATATGAACTACAATTTCTTTATGATTCTGTTCCAATCTGAGGCACATGGTAGAGTAGTAGGTGGTTGAGGCAATATGCTATAAGCCAGAAGGTTGCAGGATTGAATCCCGATGTGGTGGATTTTTTCAATTAACTAATCCTTCCAGCGGCATTATGGCCCTGGAGTCGAATCAGCCTCTAATAGAAATGAGTACCAGGAAGCTTCCTTGGGGTAAAGGGTGGCGGACGCACAAGGCTGACAACCTTACCGCCATCTGTTAGCCGATTGTCTAGAAAATGTGGCAGCCTCAACATCTCACAACTCTATGGGCCTCCACAGCCTGTTAAAAGGTATATTTTTAACCTTTTTTTTTTCTTTCAGTTCCTTTCTTTAATTTTGGTATCCTATTAACATGAAATATCTCTCACGGAAAGTACATCTGGCTAGCACTTTCCTAACTATTTGCAATCATGTTCAAGCTTCCCACAAATTGATGAGTCACTCGGGAAGAAGCACCTGATACTCTTCGTGTCTGGTTGAGACAATGGGATACAGAATACTAGCACAACTGACAAATCTACAGCCTAAGAGATTGCAAATGAAACAATCAGATCACAGAACATTCCAGCGTTCTTGTCAGGAAAATGTTAAAGCCCAGCACCAATTCCATCGTTAGTGCCCCCTATAAGAATGCATGCTCACTGCGTAGAAGCTGGACAAAATCAGTGCTGGGTTCAAATATTATCCTCAAACATCCCTCAGATCTGACTTTGTTTCTTACTTTTATGCCAACCATGTGCAACATCAGTTGAAGAAAAACGAGTGAATAGTAACTGACATTGCACACAGATGGCATAAAAGCAAAACGCAAAGTCAGATATACACAGTGCAACAGGATTCTGCAATATAACATTATCCTTCATATGTCTTGCACAGGAAGGAAGGTGTGGGGATTTTGTCGTTACTCCAATGACAACCCACTTCTTCAGAAAGTTTGTAGGTCCTGAAAAGGACTGTTGGCTGCTGGGATGTTTGGCCGGTGAAGTAGCACGGCGCGTGCCGGTAAAAATGAGATGTTGGTTGCAGTGTGTTGAGGCGGGTGAGTCAGTTAACTGGCCGTAGTGCGGCTGTTGCTGGATGTTGCTTGGTTGCTGGAAAGCTTCTGCTTGCAGAGCATGGTCACAGGAGTGGAGAGGCGGTAGCTACGCCAGTTGCCCAGTGAGTCGGGCATGACCGCCGGCGAGTCCAGGCAGCCGAGTTGCCCAGTGAGTCGGGTGTGACTGCCAGACAGCCGAGGCAGTTGTGCCTGGTGCAGCGAAGTGCTGATGCCTCCGAAGACCAAGCGCTGGTGATGAAGTGTGCTGTTTGTAGACTGCTTGAAGACTGACTTGCGTCTCAGTGGTCTCAGTGCTCTCAGGGTTGGAGCTGTGCCTTTTTATACAAAGCGTGATGGAGGAGCGAAAATTTGCTGAGCACTGATTGGCTAGCGCATGTAATGACTAGACAGTGAGTGCAGTTAAATGTGAGCATTGGAAGCAATTTGATTTGTTAGCGCGTGTGATGGTGAAAAGTGAGCGCTGTAGAAATAGCGTGATAGTATGTGGGATTCCACAAAGGATTCCAAGTTTCAAGTTTAATCTATTTAAAAAAAAAGAACTTTATGTTAATGTAAACTTTCCATGGAGATGCCAGGAATATGTCCATAACAAAGAGAATTTCCAACATCTTCTGTAATACAGATAAATTTCATCTGTACTTGTTAAGTCACAGGGTTCTCAGTTCTGCTAGCAGTCCATCTCCTTGTGGTTTGAGTAGATAAGTGGAGTGTCAGAGACTTCTGCTGAGCAGCTTAATAGCTTTCAGGAAGCTCTACAGTGACAGCACTCTACAAATGACATAATATATTCCAGGTATATCATTGGAATTGTGCATTACTTGGAAAACAAACTTAACCTCAAATTTAAAGAAATTTTAAGCTAGCAGTTTGCAGCAACCCACAAAAAAATTTGATATTACCATGAAAACATAGATAAATATTTAAAATATCAGCATGGAAATTAGTAATCAAACCACAATCATCCAAATGTGAGAGAGTCTTGGTCAAGAATACATTACTAACCAACCAAAACAGATGTGTCAACAGCACGAAGCATGTCATCCCACATGATCACACGCACAGAAGGAAAAGCCTCACGTACATACTGAGCAACTGCGACCACATGCTCCAGAAAGAGCTGTGGGCGCCCATATCTGCTAGTCTCTATGCGTCGAGAACAGGCTGGACAGAGTCCCATGTGCCATACCTAATGGAAAAACCAATTACAAATAATCCTATTAACTTCTTAAAGCACTTATTACTAAAAAGAGAATTTAGTGAGCTAGAACTACATTTAAGTGTGTATCACTCAAACATCAACATTTTCAGAGCTATGACCTACAATACTGATACTTCTCCAACAAGAGGCGGTTGCTTCGTTGGTATAGTTTGCTTGTGGACTAAAGCCACGGAGTTTGTTTCTTTTTGTGGTGTTCTTGAATAATTTAAGGAATCATATATTGCTAGAAATCTGATCTTTTAACCTTTAAACGCCAGACTTCTGAAATAGTAGTAAGCTTGAGCTGGCCGGAGTTTATTTAAATGCCCGCTGCTACTCTGCGTTTAAATGTCCGTTTCTGTTAGTGCGCCTAAACAATTTTTAGCATTGTGTTTAAAAATGCTGTATCTAACTCAATTTTTATGATAAATGGATGGAATTAATTTTGTTTGTATCAGCAAAGAACATAGTGTCGCATATTATAACAGCAGATTTGAAATTTTTTATACAAATTATACTCCATTTTCAATTTTTTGTCTTTTAATTTTGATGAGTACTGCAAAAATGATTTCTCAGTTCTTCACAGAGTTGTTCTGCATTACAAAATCATTTCTGTTTGTAACACTTGACAAATTTTAGCAGTCCCCGGAGTCATAAAACAGATGGAAGCAATAAAATCATTTGGTCTTCTGCTAGCACTGCTTACACTTTTCGGATTTTCGAATCTTTTGACTGAAGGTCAGAAGAATGAAAGAATGGCTATTCAAGAGAAAGCTGGAGGGGTCCCTTCTTCCGTTATAGCTGCAAAAGTTTATTGCCCTTTCTATGGGCCTGAACAGACAGCTGCATCGCGGCTGAGATTCAGAGTGCGGTCTGTTTTCTGTGCGTGCTTAGTGAAATCGAATACAGTAGTTTTATTTCAACCTATATATACATCAAGCAGATAACAACAAAAAAGGTATTCACATCTCAATTTTACTATATATTTTTAACGTATTAATCTGCAGAATCTGTAATAAATGTAGTGGTTCATGGATGAGTTTGGGCATAAGTCATGCGTATACTCTTTTTGTTGTTGTTCACTTAGGTATCATTTTAATTTTTCTATTAGGGCTTTACTCAAGTATGTCTGGTAATTACTACATTTAAAAATAAATATTTAGGACTGCGCATTCGCTTCTACTATCGGCGTGTGCGCGCGCTTCCCCTAGCGGAGATAAAATGCCCGACTGGCCAAAACTGGGTACTTTGGCCACGACGACCTTACTCACCACTGGCACAAACGGGGCACTTCGGCACTTAAAAGTTAAACATCAACACTTGTGGTTACATACCTCATCAGCTCCAATATGCAAATATTGAATGTCTGGATGGAACTCAACAACTTGCTTTATTAGTGATGTGACAAGGGACAGAGCCTCTGGATGTGAGGGACACATGGAACTGGGGTATGCCTCCACCTCGCGCAATGCACGCCACTTGTCATGCTTCAGAACAAACTGTAACAGTACATACAGTTGTCTCAAGGCCTCCTCTCTAATGCAACATCCATATGTCTATATCGTACATATGTATACAGCTTGTAAAACAAATCTTTAAAAACCCATTGATGTTTACTATACATTTTGTTGTTACATTTGCATGGATTAAGTGCTCCCCACTCCTACTTCTCAAACAAATACCAGAACTTGCCAGTTCAGTATACTATTCATCCTACACAGCTGATACAATCTAGTAAAATCTGACATATTTAGGAAGGAATATATGACACTTTACTATTATTATTATTATTATTATTATTAGAGGGGGTGGGTTTCCCCATGCACCATGACTAATAGTCTATTGTATGTCCCCCTTTGATATTCTACCAGTCGCCATACCCTACCGGTACTGGTGCGTACTATCAGCCCTGTTAAGCCATCGAGGTCGGCCCTCAGTACCTCATACTTCCCCCATCTACCAGAGACATTGGAAACTACTTGGGCAGGAAACTTTTTGCCTAATTTAGCTCAGAGGTCTCCTAGAGACATGAGGATCTTTTACGTGCCGTAAATCTACGACATGGGACCCACGGCTTAAAGTCCCTCCTGGAGGACTTGTTCCCTGAATTTTTCTGCCCTTAAAAATTCCACGACCTCCACCGGGTTTGAACCCGCATACCTTGAGTCATGAGGTGGGAACGTTACCCCTAGACTACAGAGGCCACTTAATATGACACTTAAGCCAACAACGAATAACTAATTATGTTTCTGACTAAAAAATAGTCGCAGGATGTTCTGTGTGACTTTGAAGGCTCAACCCATACAATATCATTAGAAATAGATATGCATCTCTTGAAGCCCAAAACATAATATGAGAAATTTCATATCATTTACAGTGTATGATGCTTTGTTATAAGTTGAATCCATTTCTTCAAATGGAATCAGTTCTAATTAATGAAAGTTATATATATTACCTCAAGATGTCCTATGGTCTGTACAAGTGGAACTACTGCTAGACCAGCATCCCCTGCAAGCTTCAGCAATTCACGAGCCTCTTCAGCTGTATAAGCTCCAGCTGGACATGAAGGTGCATTAGAACCAAGAAGTGCGAGATCTCGAACATATGGAAAAGTATCTTCCCATTCAATCAGCAGACCAGTAGCTCCCCATTCACGAAGTAATGGAAATAGCTACAAGAATTCGCAGTACTTTCAGGTAATAGTGAAAAATAACACCAATACTAAAATACAAGAACAGTAAATGCCTGAGAACAGATGCTTTAATATCAATTTACTTTGCATATTTACACTCCACATTATATCACCTGAAGTAACCTCCCAAGGAATTCAACGGAGAAGAAATGTACATAAGAGACAAAAGAAAATTGTTAGAATAGAAGTAGAAATTAGAGATCATCTCTTACAGAGAATTTATTAAATAATTTAATAAACTTTCCCTTGCCACAATATTCTTACTCTTTGCATAGTCATCTGTTGTGTACAACTAGGAAAATTTTCAAATTAACTCACACCTACACAACATAAACACAAGATGTAAACATGACAACTATATGCTGAATGACAAGCTTGCTACATATCAGAATGTTGTGTACAACACAAAAATCAAGTTATTCAGTGATCTCTTGCCTACCATTAAGAGTCTAAATCATAATATACACATATTTATATTGACATAAAAATAACATTTTGTATCCCACTTGTTCCACGCAGCAGAAGTGATTTTATTTGAAAATTCTTAAACACTTATAATATTTATGGAAACAAAATGTTTTGATATAACTCGCTCTGTGTAACAGAGTCCTGCAATACTGTCTATAAATAACTATAACAACCAACTGTGTATTTATTTGTATTAAATACTGTACTGTATTGCACTTTGGCCGATGGGCTGGATGGCTGGGGTTCAATTCCCAACAGAGGCAAGAGATTTTTCTCTTCCCCACAGTGTCCACATTGACTCTGGGCCAGCTCAGCCTCATATCGCTCATATCCAATAGGTGCCCGAGGGCTCTTTCCCTTGGTATAATGTTGACCACTCATGTCCACCTAGTGCAGTGGTTGAGAATGCTGGCGCTATACCTCCACTCCCCCCCTTAATTTTCATGGCGTGGTTAATTAATCATAAGGACAACTTTACTTTTCATCCTACTGCACTGTATGTGTATTGTATCTGCGTCTGTTGTTAACATATTTTATTTGCATTACTGCATTCTTGGCTTAGTTCTACACGGAATCTATGGAATGTAAATAAACCGATTCTTACCCTAATTATATGGTCTTACCTGCGCTAAGTACGTTACTTTGGGTGGAGCACCCTTCAAATCCAAGTGAACAAGCCTGAAATTAAATAACGCGTTTTTTAATCTCGGAGGTATTACATTTTATCTATGAATGAATATATGAAAACCCCGAATCAGATACCTGTGAGAGCCGAAAGTTAATGCTTCCATTGTATTATTTACACTGATCCATATTTACAGTAACTATTTTGTCATCTCCGTCGTTATCGAAAAAGCAAACATTAAATCTCACATAGTGCCTATCACAATGATATCAAAGCAATGGTAATTTTTATCTTCATCACAGTAACGTCAACATTTCCGTCACCAGCATCTATAAATCATAACTTCCTCGCTATTACATTCTTAATTTTATGAGACGGAATTAACGAAATCCCTCATGATGCATTACACCTTCACACTGTGCGTGCTAAATTGTGTATTTTAATTACTGTACGCAATATGTCAAATTACGCCTCGCATTACATGTCACTAATTCATATTTGAATGTTGGCAACCATGGGTATGGGATTGGCGGTAAGCACAAAGGCGGCTCTATGAAATTTGGGCTGTCGGACAACTAAACACGAAGCAACAGATTAATTTAATTCATTATAATGAATTATAATTATCAGTCCAACACATGAGTTTACCCTTCATCAGATGGAATAGATTATGTATTCATAACATATGCTGGTAATAATAAAAATATTCCATTAGCAAACAATCAAGAAAACAGCGAATTTGAGAGATGCTCACATTATTCACTGCCTACCCTACTTTTACTCCTTAACAATCTAAGATAACCTCTGTAATTTATATTCTATTGCTTAACACAAAAATTTATTACGAAATTTTCCAGTGTAAAACTTAATCAATTTAAGTCTGCAATTCAATAATACCATATACTATTTATTTACAAACCATATGATGATGGTCCACACAACTGAAAAAATATGGTTGAACGAAAAAATTGATGAAACCACTGACACTTTTATTCCTTTTAATTGATTTTATTTATTAGCATTTAATTTATTCCACTGTTGTGCTGACAGCCCTAATACTTCAAATATGTTCTAATGTTGGCATAAATATATTTACATCATGATTTCAATGTTTAATGGCAGATGGGAAATCAATGAATAACTTCATGTTTATGTGACACACTTCTTTCTAATATCTAGAGCTTATGGATGTCATGTTCATGCTTAGTGTTAACATTGTTTATGCATGAATGTGTTTGACCTCTCCATGCTGTCCACAACCGAGAGAATGTGCTGGTAAAGTTTCTTAAATTTATTAATTCTGTACAAAACACTGTCTTTTTAATTTCTGCACTATGCTAATGATTTTATTTTGGATACTAAATATACATTTGCTGTCCACATTTCCCCAGATTATTCCATATGACATGTATGTAATATAAATATGCAAAGCAAAATTATTTTTAAATCTTCAATCTCATAAATGATGAGACTGCCATTTTAAAAAACCATGGTAAACTTATTTTACGGATAACAGAGAACTTTCATTATATGACTGCCATGCCATTGTAAGCCCATCAGAAATTTCGCAAATAAACCCAGCCCAGGAGTCAATCATGTTTGCAGTGTCACATTGAAGACTGTATATTCATTGTGTTTTTTGGATTAAGTTATTGTCAGTTTGTGGGCATAGGAAATTAGGTGTTCTTATAACTTCAATTGTTTTATTATAATAACCTTCAATTAGATTAATAAATTGTTTTATTAGGAGAAAATATTATGAAATTTGTAAGATTTGAGGTTCTCTTAGCAGTGGTTATGAAGAGTTCTGTCTTCAGGATACAAAGCTGTGTATTCCATTGAAAGTCAACCTACATTTTGAAGGAAAATGTTATCTTGATATTCTGACTCAGAGAATGAGACAAACCACAGCCTAGCACAAAGCATGTAGCAAGCAAGCTCTGCTTGCTACCTGCTTCATGCTGGCTACATTACAAATTCAGCTGCATACATTCTATAAAACCTATGCATATGACAAATGCCCCATAATGATGCACTAGGTATGCTCTATAAAAAGGAATATTTTCAATAAACATTAGAATGGTGTTTGGAAAGAACAAAAACTTGTGTGAACATTAACATATTGTCACATGCATGAGTGACTATAAATGGGTTCTGAATTGGTAATTGAATTTATTGGCCACTTACAGAATGTAACTACACTTTACAAATCACTATCTCACACAGACTAGTGTCCACAGTCACAACTTCCAATGGCGGACGTTCCCCTTGTTCAAGGTTCCCACACTATCTCCATTCCTCAGCTAACAGCTTCTAACAGCAGCAGTCCTCCAACTGACTGCTCACTTCACTCAACTGCACTCAACTGCACCATACTCTCACTAACTGTCCTGCTCATAACATCTAGGCATGGACTGCACAGAGTACTTTGATTTCCCCTGCCAATCTTCATTCCACCAACTGCTCCACAATCACCCTCACCTATCATCTGGGGCTGATACAATAGGACAGAAGTGGCTGCAGTACATGGGACTTAGTCCCACCCCACTAGCAACAGAAAAATTTGCAACTGCACAAAATACTACACAGAAGTTCTAGCTATAGGTGGTTCCCACAATACAAACCCTTTACTGTATTTCTTAGCAGGACTTCAATTCTATATCTCAAAGAAACGTTTCTAATTACAGGATATGAACTGGAAGGTTTGCAAAACTGCATAACATTAAACTTTGATTTGATTTTTCTGTAATAATTCTCCAGTTAAAGCAGCACAGAGTAGATTAACTTAATACATACCTGTAATGAAATATTTTGGTCATCACTCATACAGCCACAGACTTTACACGTAAATATAAAATGACAATAAAATACACTCATATTATGAATGAAGCGATGACACTTCTTCCTAAATGGTGACATGAAAAACAAAAAAATATGACAAAGTTGATTCTAATCAAAGATATATAAATATACCATTTATATTTTTATTTCAGTACTGTCACTTATATTCAATTTACTGCAAGGAACAGACTCAAGGAGAAGTCTGGTACACAAAATACACACACACACACACATTATCACATTATGGCAATGTCTCTATTACAAACACACATCAACTTACATTAATCTTTCCACTACATTCACACAAAGACTGAAGCACAGCGAAAAATATAAAATGCTCCCTAAACCTACCAAGACCAACAAAATACACAGTAATGAATAGAAAAAGAATATGTAAATCATGTTTTATTATTTCAAATTTGCATAATTCTAGAGATGGCAGGCATTTTAATTTATAATATATAGTTCAGTGATAGTCAATGAAGTAATATCAAAATATTTGGCTATTTGGAAAGCAACCTTCAATGAGCTGTTAACAAAAACAAGCAATAAGGAAGAAAATTGTATTATATACAAAAAATATGTACATACTTCAGCTACTTGTTAATTTAGTCACTGCCAGAATTAAGGCACTTGTATCAAGATTTCTTTAACACAGACATACAATAACTTATTCCCCGATATGACAAGTGCCTCAATTCCAACAGTGACTACGTCGAGAAGTAGCTCAAGTATGTATTTTTTGTACATAATAATTCTTGCTGGGGGTTTCCAAATAGCCCCTGTAAATAGTTAAAAAAGAAAATGAGGAAGAGAAGGTTATTACATAAGCTAAACTCTCCAATACCCTATTTACTGACTTCTCTGCTGATGCAAGGGATGAATAGTGTTCTATGCATGCACAAGAAATATACCATCAAGTGTGTTCATATTCAAGGTACATAACAAAACATGTTCTTTTTTACAGCAAATGTATCATTTTTATAACACAAAAAGATGAGAATAAAATGATGTCCTTGATGAACCAGATAACTTCCTTTACAGTTCCATATCAACAATGGTCAAATATGAGAGAATTATACAGTGGAGAAATGATTTTCCACAGATATATAAGGTCATCCATATATAAATCATAACACTCTTCAGAAATTACAAATTTCTCTCATGTCAGACTTCATTTAAATAAAAATAGCCTAGCTTATTTTAGTCCACTGACACAAGACAGAAATCAAGAAATGAGCTAAGTAATAGCAGCACAATTACCTTGACAATGAAATCATCACAGTGCCACACTGTAAAGAAATACACTGGGGCTTAACATTCCCAGGAGAAATATATGACTGTGTTCACCTAGCTCAATCAAATCTTTTGAAGCTACTGTCAAATGAACTGCAATTGTCATTTCTACTGCTGATACACAATTCTTTCTTGCCCTCCTTTTTGTAGGCTCTGCTTAAGGGGCAAAGTGTGCAGTTTGGAGCATGATTCAATGATTTAAAATCTGAAATTTACATTTTGGGTACAGCAACCTCAAAGCAAAAATTCACATTTGAAAACAGGGAGCTTGCAAGAGAACTCAGAAGAGTGATAATGACAATGAGTAAAGGAGGCATGAGAACATAATTAAAAATACAATTCATTTATCAGAATGCATAAAAAGCAGCAATCCTCAGCAATATTTTGAGCATCAAGTTGATATAAGAACTGAACAGCAATCCTCTAACACACAGAGGGCCAATATCTGAACTTAAGCATTAGAGGAATATGATCATCACATTGAAAATGTGCATTAATTTAACCTTAAAAAGATGGAGGGGGGCATCTTTCATGATTATACATGACAGGAGATACTTTTGAATAGGAAATGCAAGGATATTCATATTCATCAACCTTGTCAAGTTACGTTTCACTACTTTTTAAGAAAATGGAATAATTGTATACATTCGATTGTTACATTTAACATCTGTATTTATTACATTAGAATAAATAAAATGCAAAGTTTCTGGAAGTATTACCTTTAAATTACATTTAATACCATGTCTGATAGCATAGTGATGACTCAGGCACAACTCCACGTATTTTTTCACAAGAAATGCTCAAGTTACCTCCTCCACCTTGAATACAAGCTTCATAGCAACATCAAATGAAGTCCATGTCATGAACCAGTTGTCTAGATTTGCCCCTGATTGTCTGTTGCTGCTACCAAGATGTAACTGATTAGGTCAGCAAAATCTTGTACTCCCACAGCATAAATCTTACAAATAGTGTCTACTTCAACCAAAAATAACTAATTCTATGCAGCAGAATGATACCTTTTGTGAAATTTTAAGGTTCATTACCATGCTCATAAGAGCCTACCCTCAATAACTGTTCATGTTCACTTCTCTTTTAAAAGTGAATCCATGTCTTATACCAATTATTAATGCTAAAAAAAATCAGAGGAAAGCCAAATATATACAAATATTTGATTATCCAACATGCTGCATGAACAAAAAAAATTAAATTACTCGTGTATAGAAAAGAAAAGCAACGGGATAATTTAAGGCAAGTTCAGATGTGAGTCTTTTGTTGCTATTATTAGTAATAAGCCAACTGATAAATAGAGTAATGGCATTCATTTACTGTACAAGTGTCTCAAGTTAAATTTTATGGTAAACACACAGCCCAACCCACTCAGTCCTATCACATATTCCCTGGAAACAAAAGACACATTCCAATTTCAAAGCGGATAATCAACTCTTACTGTTGTTATAATGTCATAGGTTCAACCAGTCTTTTTCTCTGGAAATTTCTACATCTTCCAAGCCTAATATAGAATTACCCAAGGATCACTATCTTTATTTACCGCTGGCTCAACATAGACCAAGGCAACAAGAAATAAGTGAAATCCAGACCTGATGGTAATTGGAGGCATTTGATTAGCCATCCAAATTTGTGGTTACATTTGAAACAGGAAATCTTGGCTGTGAATAAAAAAACTTAAGGGTCTTTGTGGGATCATGAGAGGCACTTGATTTGACTTGCCTTCTTACATTTACTCATTTCCTTAGAGACATTTTTCAGATAATTTTCAAATTCACTTCTTTGCAATACTGATTCTTAGCAATTTACTTCACTTTGAATTGGAGTTTAGCAAATCTAAATCATTAACCAGGCAAGCCGCAAAACTGAGTTAGGAGACTGCTGAATTAATAAGACATCAGTCTTAGATGCAACCCTTAGAACATACCTATGTCACTTCATATTATACACCACTGGATAAAATGTGGTAACTGTACAGTCTCATATGATGAGTATTGTACTCACCCAACAGGTGAAGATGTGATTGGGTACAAGCTACAGTATCATGTCACTATGATATACAGTGCTTTACTTTTGCAATCCCCACATGTACATCATACTTAAGAGAAATCCCTTCCCCTTATAAAATCTATCAACATTGACCATCTACCACCAACCACAGTCATCCCTTTTACCTCCCCATACCCATGAATATGTCCTAATGCAAGCATTTGTTTCGGCTGATGCAGCTTTGCAGTCAAGAATCCTGAGGCTCATAAGCCCAACTACAGAAATGTTTGAAGGTTTGAACAGTTTTAACGGTGAAGCCAATCCTGTTTCTGAGAGATGGCATGGAGGTGAGCTGTGTTGCCAACATCTCAGGTGAAAACCTCCTGGCTTCATCAGGGCAAAGTCAGCCAAATGGAGAGAAGGTATGTGACATATATGGACAAAAGATGGGGCTGAGGCTTGTGCAAGTGAAACAGTACTGGTGACTCTTGAGAGGACTGTCTTATTAAAGGAACAGGCCAGGGAAGAAGTGTAAACAAATATAATACTGGTCACCATTTAACACGTAAATAAATCAGAGGAAGGGGTAGTGGAGATGTAATAATTCACTGTTCATGGATTCCATCTTGGTTGCCAGTAGGATGCATCCATATGCTTCAGTGTAAGAGGAAATAATGTCAAATATAGGTGCACTATTTTTGACACTGAGCACCAGCTGGCAAGAAGTCAGAACTGTTACAGGCTGCAAGATCTTCAAGGTGGGCAAAGAGTGCTGATGTGGCATGCCTAGTACTAGTCACTGAAAGCTCAGAAGCCTCTTAATGGGCCAAGTTCCCGACAGGATAGGACGGGAATGTCGATGATATAACCGTAAGAGAAAGGTGTAGTGGAGGGACTCCAAGCAGGTGGTTGACAGCATGGCTGTTTCTGGTCCTGCGAATTGTGTATGCTTGTGCCACTGTGTTTTAATTGAGTACATGATGTTCTTCCAAGACAAGCTTATCTGGCAGCCCACATCTCTACTCAAGTTATGGGGTAAGGTGATCTCTGCAACGGACATGATACAGAACCATCTGCATTTATCACAGCTGCCCTTTCACATCAGCCTGTAGAAATATCCTATTTGAAAACCTGGGTCATTACAATACTCCTCCAGGAAACATGACTCATCCATTTCCCCACCTTTGTACTTCTTCCTTTGGTTTATATACTACATAGGGACCAACATTTTATTTACTCAATTGCCTCCTCTTCTACACACCTCACTTTCTCCTGCACTTCTTGAATAGTCTGTCCTCTTAATAAAATAGCAAAACAGCTTTCTAAGGGCCACCAGTTCCTATCAGCATGAGCAAAGCCACTGTTCAGTCTCTCCTATATATCATGCAAAATTTTCGTGCTTTTCCACTCTGAAGAAAGATCGTCACCAACGAATCATTGTGACAGCCTAAAATCAGTAGTTAAATAGTCTATAAACATAAGGCATACTATGATATGAAAAGTGTACAGAGTTTGAAATAATCACTTTTCAACATTCATCACTTAACTTACATATGATAGTAAATGTCTGATGGGTTGAGAGGAAAGAGCAGAGGGAAAGATTATGCATATAGATAATGACCTCATATTCTCAAAACATAACAAAGATTTTTCAGCAGAAGAGGTATTTCAACAAGAAATGTCTTATATTACAATGCACACACATCTAGGTCAAAATACCCATGGAACTGTAGTACAGTGGAATCCTCTTGAGAAGTTCTCCAGCAAAACAAGCAAGTCAAACTTCTTACACAAGAAATATCTTAAAAGGCTGGGTTAAAAAAGTTAACCAAATTAATTTTAGTGCAAAGTAAAAATATTCACAATACATATAAATAATTAAATGCATTAAAAATACTACTGAAATCATTACAATTACATATTTATTGAGAGGAAAACCTGACAATAAGAAGCTCATGAAGAATGTTTTTCTGTATGTTTAGATCTTAGTAATTTTCGTATGCGTTACATTTGGATAGCTGATTACATCCAGTTTTCTCCCCATTGTTACTGGTTTACATTTTGCTCCTGTCTTTGCAGCTCCCACATTACTCACTGTTTATACAAAATGATAAATTAAGACATTGATTAATTGATTCCCTGTTAAATTTTGGAATATGTAGTTAACACTTAAATGACATGTCATCTAAAGACTTCAATGGGAACAAAACATAAACACTTAAAAACGATTAAAAAATTTGAGCATGATACCATCATTGGACATTTACTTTGATTGAGCTGTTTTTAAGCACTAGCTAGGCAAGATAGACAAGCCATACTACACAGAGCAACAATCTTAATCAGAAAAAAAAATAAGTTGGACAAATGTTTAGGTTCAGCTGCTGTCAGGCACTAACACACATAAAACAAGTGCTAGTGAACTGTAACAGCTGTACCTATATAGAGGTGACCATGTTCTGCCTAGTTTCAGATGTGCAAACACTAAATAAAAAAGTAAAGTAAAGCTATCCCTGTAACAGGCCATGAAGGCCCATAGGGTTGTGAGACGTTGAGGGTCCCACATTATCCAGACAATTGGCTCAAAGATGGCGGTAAGGTTGTCAGCCTTACGCACCGGCCGCGCTTCACTCCCCAGGAAAATTATTTATTTAATTAATGGTACTCATTTCTGTTAGAGGCTGAGTGAACCCCAGGGCCATAGTGCGGCCCAATGACCTCATAGGTATTTGAACCCGCAACCTTCCAACTTGTAGCATAGTACCTCAACCACTATGCTACCGTGTGCCCCCTTGTGCAAACAAGCAGCCTGTAATCATCTCTTATAAACAGATGAATAAAACAATAGGACAGCTTGGGAAAAAATAACTATAGATAAAACCTTAGTTTGATGACATCAAAATGACATTTCTTACGCGACAAACATTAAGGACATTAAAAATATATTAGTCTTATGGGGATAATTTTGGGACCAAAAGATTTGTCTTAGCCACAAAAAAAAATCTTAAATAGGCACTCTTCAAGTGGATTCCACTATTCCTTCCAACCACAACAATCCAAAATGATGGAAGAATTGTAGCAATAAACTAATACTCTATTGAGATGAAAGTGTCATTTATAAGACGACATAATACTGAATATTTTATTCTGCTTTGTATATTCTCTAAAATTGTTTTTCTATTTCCATCAATACAAAACAGGCAAGACTATCTACCTATTGGCAATACATATAATTTTGACCAACAGATTGTGACCACCAAAGTTCATTCACAACTTTCAAGAAGATATAAGCGTATTAAATAATTCCCATAAACCACAACTTTTATCATGGCTATTCCATGCTGACTCCAAGGTAACCCACTAGTTACCAGTGTCTTCCTGCTTCACTCCCTCAGTCTTTGTCTTCCATCATTCATACTCCAGGATTTGTTTGTGATAAAACAGCAGGTAGCTGCAGAAAAAGAAGACACAATATTGTTAATTAACAAATTATAATAATATCAAAACAATATAATTAGGAGAAAGGACAGCCCTAAATCAATTCCTAAAAGTCTCAAAGGTAGCAAGAGATAGAAAAACAAGACACAGCTCGACAAAAAAAGATGATTTTCAGCTACTCCTGTATTGGGAAAAATTTTATATAAATGCAACGCATGAACTCAGGTCCACTGTATGCTCCTGATCATCTTATAGTCTGTTACCCTGGTAAGTAATTTTAAAATAAAAACTGTAAATATTGTGACATGTTACCTTACATCCATCACCACGACAACCGCTACAATCCAAATGGACACTTCCACGATAACGAATACATGGTAATTGTGGAGTTCCCACAGCAACAAATCATAGCAATGAATTGTTGTTGAGTAACAACGGATGAGACGAGACACGTTACTGGTGTAATCTATAAAGAGCGTTCCCGAAGCAACAGATTGTCGAACATGTAAGCTCAAACTTTGGCAAGGGGTGTCCTCTATTGAGTCTGCATGCGGCTTATATAAAGAGGCAGGCCTCGAACGGGAGTTGAGAATATTTGAGTATTGAATATTGAGTGTCGGGTATTAGAGTACTGAAGTATTGGGCCAGAAGGCAAGTGATACTGCAAGCGATAATAATTGTAAGGTGTGTAAGTGTGAGTGTCCGATAAAGATTCGCTAAATCCGAGACCCACGTGAAGTTGTCGCGTGACATACCCAACACATGACAATATAAAGCAATCCCAAAGTCAAATACAACTACTATGAAAAAGCAGATACATTATGATCTATACAGTTTATCTCCTTATGTCATAGGCATCCAAAACTCAACTTTCAAAATTTTTAATTCCTCACACTGGTATATAGCACAATTGAAATGCTGTAAAGCACAAAAGGTCATTAAATAAACTATATTTAATATATCTTGAAAGTTAAAAACTATAAATACTCATAGAAAGCAGATTATTAAGTATTAATCAATATAAAGTTTTGAAATAATAAGTCTTTATATATACAATTTAGTTCAAATTTGTTTACAACAATTCAACTATTTTCACACACTTCAGTCATTTATTCTCTCAAATAATGGGAATATCATAAGCTTAGTATCAGAAACTTTTGAAAACAACCGAATCATTGTTTTTAATTGAACCATCTGTGGTAATAAAAAGAAAAAAGGTAAAGCTATCCCTATAACAGGCCTCAAAGGCCCATAGGGTTGTGAGACGTTGAGGGTCCCACATTATCTAGACAATCGGCTCAAAGATGGTGGTAAGGTTGTCAGCCTTACACACTGGCTGCACTTTCCCACCCAGAAAAATTCCTGGTACTTATTTCTGTTAGATGCTGAGTCGACCCCAGGGCCAGAGTGCAGTTGGAAGGATTGGATCCGTAATGTGTATGTACTAACAGTCTTCAAGTGCATACAGTCTCATCTACCACTTCTACACTACATGTTTCGGCAGTATGCTGCCATCTTCAGGTGTATCGATCCATCAACCATTTCACTGCTTGCTTTTATATGTCCATTTACAAATAATATTAAATTTGTATATGCCCTTATATAATAATAAAGTTTATGTATTTAAAACTTGTTATATGACATATGAGATAATAGGTTTTAACAAGTTTTAAATATATAAACTTTATTATTATATAAGGACGTATACAAATTTAGTATTGTTTGTAAATGGACATATAAAGGCAAGCAGTGAAATGGTTAACAGATCAATACACCTGAAGATGGCAGCATACTGCTGAAACATGTAGTGTAGAAGTGGTAGATGGGATTTGTATGCACCTGAAGACAGTTAATATATACACATTATGAATATGAATCAGTGCAACAGGATGCTAAAATACAACATAGGTTTAGGTCAATTGAAAAAAATCCAATGACCTCATCAGGACTTGAACCCGCAACCTTCCAGCTTGTAGCATAGTGCCTCAACCAACTACACTACCATGTGCCCCTGTGGTAATAAAATACAATTACAAATTAGAATAGCACATGTGTACTATGACCTTCTGCCTCTAGGCAGAATATGTTCTCTATTCAGACATATAGTACTTAGATTGTGGAACAAAGACATCCCTCTTCCAGAAAAGCAAGACAAAAGAGGTGATTTAATGGTACCTTCCTTGATCGCCAGCTTCAGAAGCAAAATCACAAGTTCATCAGGCACAACAAATTGTGCAAAAATATGTGTAGTTCTATCCACAATGTATTACTGGCTTTTTTTCAAGTTGCTCTTACAGAAATATCCTGCGTCATATTACACCACATGAACAACTTTCATACAAACCAGGTCACAGAAAGAATATATGAAAACATTATGAACTGGAAATTTAAACTGCAGTTTCATTACAATGTGCAAAAATTATAGCCTCTTCACTGACCCTTCACTGTCCAACACTTCTCGAAGATTTGCTCTTGTGATGAGGTGATCATCACACTTGAACCAATGATCACGCTGCTGACGAATGAATGCTGTATAGTGGCCTGCATCCAGCGAACCTATGTGGTTTATCACAGCAAATAATGAATACCTACAACATGAGACACAACAGCAAAATAAAAGTTATATATATATAAAAAAAAAAGAGTCTGAACCTAACAATGGATGCAAGATTTCAGTGTATAGCATAAGCCTGAAATGGAAACAACCCCAACCTCAACTCCACCACCAGTTATGCAATTCAGCAAACAGGATGACTTCCTGATGTGACTGCAAGAATATGGGATATGACACACATTGAACACACTGAAAGATACTGATCTATTTCTGAACAGATGTATACACCATTTACACTAACATGATGAAAGAGAACCAAATTTTCATCAGCAATGACATTTCTATGATTTTTGTACACAGCAAATAATGAATACAAGGCTGACAAGAACAATACAAGGCTGACAAGAACTACAAGACTTCTGAAAATCTGATTTTGTTTTATTTAACTCAGTCAAGCTTATGCTAAATTATATGATTTCCTTGAACACTCAGTTTTGTGAACTCGTTGTGCTGTAGAGAGTAGGAGTTACTTTCAAAAAATATATTCCTATGAAATACAAAGACTTACAGACTGTGAGCCATGACATGAGTACATTTCTGAAAGGAACCCAAAATGCTATGTAGGAATTTGAGTCCCAGTAGGGTAAAAAATTTTCTCTTCTCCACAATGTCCAGACCGGCTCTGGGGCCCACCCAGTCTCCTATCCAATGGGCATTGGGGGCTCTTTCCCCGGCAGGAAAGTGGCAGGGGTGTGAAGCTGTCCACTCACCTCCAAGAAAATGTGGATCTATACACCCACTCGCCCATATGCCTTCATGGCATAGTTCTTTATCAGTTAAGCACAGGGACAACTTTACCTTTTTACCTTTCACCCAAAATGCTACATAGACCATGACACATTTGCATGCTGTAGTGAGAAGTCTCACCAGGATCACACTTTACATGGACAATTTCTTTTTCTCTCTAGGTTTATATCATTTGCAGAAGCTACCAACTGGAACTATCAGATAAAATGGCAAAACAAGAAGTTCTAGGAAGAAACTGACCACCTACTTTCCTTTCACTACATATTGAGTACTTGATACAAATATGGACCGCACAGAAAATGCTGCATCCAACAGTTCTTCTATTGCTGTATGTTGATTCATTGACACGGGAATGTCTTTACCAAGCCATTGTCCTGCAGTGGCCCAGGAATGAGTTTGCTGAGCCACTGCCTAGCAATGATGGGGCAGGGGATACAGAGACACAGATAGTAAGGTGATCTAATAAGCCTCCTTTTATTTTTTTTTTAAAATAAGGAAATTAGACTTCTGATGGTGGTAGGGAGAGTGGGGAATCTGCTTTGATAATACTTGTAAGGCACTTAAATCAAACCACCATGACATACATGCCAGGGTAGAAGTTAACTTGGCAGCAATTATTTAGAAAACAAGAAAAACATGTATATACTGACATACGCATAAATGACCAGAAGAAGGAAACTTCTGTGATGAATATGGGAAAGCTAAAAAAAATCAGTCATTGTTAGAGACTACAGTCAGGACATAGGCTCTGTCAACAGAAGGGGCAGAATGGCCTAAGAGTGATTTTATTAGACAGAAAACATGGAAGTTTAGGAAGGGGGTAGAAATGTTTCCTCCTGAGGGATCCAACTACGCTACAATATTGTCATGTGGTAGGGAAACAGACCACCAAAAATTTCATTCGGCTTTGGGTCAAAGTTTGTAGGAAATGATTGCAAGAGAATGTCATCCACAGACCACATAAAAAGGAAGACAAAACATACAGGCGACTCAAATGACTCAACCTGATGCTTTACACACAGAGAAATGCCCGGTTTCAGGATCACATGCGCCCAGCCAAGAAGAAAGGAATGACTATCCAATTTATGTGCCCAAAGTGAAAAATCAGTATATGCGCTGACTTCTGATCATGTGTTTGCCATATAAAGATAAACTTTTAAATCAGAATTCTGTTACAACATGGGGGGGGGGAACATTTTCATAAATGGAAGTTACATACATTTGGATTTTCAAGAATCTATATATTTGGAAATGATTTCTACAATAGTAAAAAAGAAAAAGCACAGTATATAATTAATTAGTGTATATCTTTCAAATATTTTTATTACAACATTTCAGCAGGAATCATTCCAAAGATACTAATACATGTTAGGTGGGTCCCTTGTCACCACGGCATGGCATGTCCTCAGGCTGCAGATGGAGGAGACACTCTCCAGTTTTGGAGGGAAACTGTGAATATACTGAATAAGCAGTCATGGACAGCCGACAAGGGGTGGCCCTCCAGCTTGGGGGTTGGGGGTGGCGCTAACAACTCCTCACCATAAAAAATTACTTTGTTACGAAAATGAATACAAAGCCTCAGACCTGGATGGATTCCTTGGATATCAAGTCAAGGAGGATGAGGTGGGCAGGGCATGTAGCACGAATGGGGGAGACGAGGAATGCACATAGGATATTGGTGGGAAAGCCAGAAGGAAAGAGACCACTGGGAAGACCAAGGCGTAGGTGGGTGGACAATATTAAAATAGATCTTAGAGAGATAGGATGGAATGGTATGGATTGGATTGTTCTGGCTCAGGACAGGGACCAGTGGAGGATTCTTGTGAACAAGGTAATGAACCTTCGGGTTCCATAAAATGCTGGGAAATTCTTGAGTAGCTGCAGAATTGGCAGCTCTTCCAGAAGGGCTCAGCTCCATGAGTAAGTAAGTAAGTATACAGTTACTAGTTAAAAACCTAAGGTAAAAATCTGGTCAACAGACTTGATGAAGCAATTATTTAAATCCCCTACTGTTATACAGCACAGAGTAAACAACATTAAATATGATCAATACTGTCTCTTCAAGTTTAATATTTCAAGTTTCATATTTTCATGATGTTCTTGAATTAGCTCCCAGAACATATGCAATTCTTTTCTCCAACATTTATCCTCACTACTGCATTATAATTTCAAATGTTCTGTATGTAAAGAGTATTCACAGTACATGTTTATTATCTGTACTATAGAAAAACTTACCTGTTGTCAGGTACAGCTACAGAATTGAGGCCTCTACAGGTGTTGATCTTGTTGTTACTGTGGTTCCGACAGTGCGACATGAAAGGTGTCATATCAAGATGTTCCGGAAATGCCACAAATGTCTTTATTTTCTTATGGAAGTGATTGGAATGTTCAAACCTCTGGAGACCAACAATAAAAAATGGCTTCATCAATCAGACGAACTGTCATCTATTAAAAAATCTGTCTTCTTGGATATCATGTTCTACAGGATGAATCCCAGAAGATATAACTCTTCATAGCCAATGCTGTGAGAACCTCAACTTCTATATGTCACTTAAATAATAATGAAACTCAACCTTAAAAATGTAAGTTTTGAGGTTATTACAGCGATGACTATGAAGAAAGTCATCTTCTGGGTTTTGGCGCTGTGCATTTTTCGTTTTGGCTGACGTTTCGGAGGAATGTCAGCCAAAACGAAGAATACACGGCGCCAAAACCCAGAAGACGACTTTCTTTAAACTTAAAATGTTCAAATTATGTAAAATACACCACTTCAAGTCTGTATTCAAAGATTAGATTTATAATTATCTTTACATGACAAAGAATAAAAAGTCAAAAGTTTGTCAGATGTCATTGGACAGGCAAAATATCAGCTCTAATCCTATCTTAATCCAATTCAAAATATTTTACTTCTGAATTTTTCAATTTCCCAGGCAGTAATGATAAATAAAATAACAATAGATCCTGTAAATTTTTCAATGTCACAAACTAATACACTATAAGGCAGTGTTTCTCAAATGCCAGGCCGCGGCCCGGTATCAGGTCTTTGCATCAATTATACTGGGCCCTCATCTTATAAAAAAAAAGAATTTACCAAGCCACGGTCTCACAAAGATTGAGAACCACTGCTATAAGGTAATAGGAGATGTAAACATATCCCAGTATTTTGGTTTGCTTTCAGCTTTTCTCCACACATATTCCCTCTGATATTCAATGTGTATAGATATGGGGATGCAGTTTCTTACTTTAAGATGGAAGCTTGCAACTACAGGTAACTTCTTCATGGTCAATTGTTTTGTTGACTCCTGGTAGCTCTGACATTTACTACATTTGATTTTTGCAGATGATCCAAGATGCTCTGCTCGTGTAAACCTCTCCAGGCAGTCTACCAATGATGTTCGTTCCTGTTCCTGTTGTTGCTGATCAGATGATAGACTCTGATTATCATTACTGCTGCTTCCAGACACAACTGCTGAGTTTGGTGATGGACCAAGGTCCAGAGAGATATCCCAGAATGGGTCTATTGTTGTTGACACTCCACTGAAATTGAGAAATCACACGTTGGAAGTATTTAAGGAACCTTTAAGCATAGAAAACATTTACATAATATGCATTTCTAAAAATAAAATTGACATGATAGCTGAAATCCAAAACAGTGGACACAAAAAAGATATCCATTACTAGGCAACAGTGGGTAAACACACTTCCACAGCAACCAAAACATTTTCCTGTGTCAAAAATACCTGGGCCATTGCCAGGCAATAGCCTGCTCAACATGTCACTCAACAGTAAGGAAATACATGGAAGCAGTGCTTTCTGTGTGGTCTGTGACAGAGTTCTATGACAAGTACACCAGCCAAGTCGACAGTTTTTTTTAGTTCGCTTAATGGGGGGGGGGG